TTCCCAAGATCGAACCATAAGTATGGTGCTTTTCACATTTATCTCAACAGTTGTTGAGTGAAAGTTACTAGATACAGTTTATGTTTAAAAGGATGAGTCATTTCTGATAGAATGAAAAGAAATACTTGTGGTATCTTCTTTGATTCTTTCAGAAATAAATTCTGTCTGAGTCTCTAGTAACTACGAAGGCGGTTGTAAAATTACTAAATATAATTAAATTTAAGTCGAGTTTCATATACAAAAATAAACAAAATAGACTCGACCGATTTCTTGACTAGCTTTTGCTATCTTAAAGGGTGGTCCAAAAATTTCGACCCTCTCTGTAAATTGACTACAATTTTTTTGCTTTTTAACCATAGTCATAATTGTTTTTCAGAAAGATGTGCTGTAAAATTCTCAACAAGAAATTATTCTTTACATACATACATTCCTTACAGCAAAAATAAAAGTATATAGATGAAGTACTGCAACCTTGATCACTTTTTAACCAAAAAATCAGTTTTTCCAGTTTCATTGCTTTATGTTTTACGAAACAAAGCTGAGAAGATGACCATTTTGTAACCCTTAAACAGATCTATCAAGTGGCTATATTTAAAACTCTTCATAGTCACAAAGAGTTGACGGAGAACTCTTTTTATTTTTTCGATGTCGCTAGAAATGATCATTTTCAAACTGCAGTTTTGGAGTACTTAAGAAATTCTTTATAAATCAGCTAAAATACAACATTTTGACGTCGGATTTTTTTATGTTAAAGCAAAATAGCTCTTCTGTTACTCTCTGGCACAGAAAGTCCAATAGTCTTATTTCTTTTTTGTGCTAACGCGAAAAAGTCAAATTTTTAATTCTTTTCGGTGAATTTTGACGAAATCGCCTTCTGTGCCAGAAAAACATTTTCAAAGCGAATGTTTGATATACGAAAAGAAAGACAACACTTCGGAGCATAAGAACATACGTTTTGCTTACAATCCAATACAAACTTATGAACTTCTTTGCAACTTTTATACAAGAACATATTTGTTTTTTTAAAAATGTAAGATGAAAATGTTTTTTCAAAATTAATAAAATGACCATAACTTTGCACCAGATGTACGCAATTCAAAACTTTTCTTTTTAGATGATAGCTCTGTTTATCTACACAATCATATTATAAGCAACTAATTATATATGTGTTTATATATATAACGTCAATTTACAGAGAGGAGTCGAAATTTTTGGACCACCCTGTATTTAAAGTGCAAGGACAAGACATTTCAATTCTAAAATAATCCAGAAAATAATCACCATCTATGTACAACGTAATTGCTCGAGTCCCCGACAATTATAAAGCATTAACATAAATGTGTTCAATCACCGACGCACACAAATCTCAATTTATACTGCTGATGAAGTCACAAACAAATTGAAGAAAATTTTTGTGTATAGATTCAAGGGAGTAATATGTTTCAGTACTAGTAGATAACCGGTCTTGTAAAATAATCCAAATCAAGTGAATACTATTAAACGTTGTCATGGAATTAATCAGAATGAATTTAATTTCTATTAGATGATTATTGTTGTTCCTATATAATAAATGCTTAAGTTGTTAAACATCAGAACAACAAACAATGTTGAAATAGAGATGCTTCGGAAGTTCATCATCCTCCCATTTGAGATTTCGGCTTCATACTCTTTCCGTTAGTACACTAAAAAGTATTCGATAACTATTCTGATGAAGACATTAAACGTTATTCTTGTTATGTTTTTGGATGACTTTATATGAAATAATATGTAAAACATTTTTGATGAAACATAACATTTCATAGGTTCTCTTGAATAAACTTTGTTTAATAACCGTTTTTCATTATAGAAAACCTCAAACCAATAACAACCAGTTCAATTTCTAGTGCTTGAGTTTCGCTATAATGAAAAAGCGGCTGTTAAACAAAGCTTATTCAGTACAAATAAGTCGAGTTTAAAATATCAAAATCATAGATTATCGCTAATCACGAATCTGATGTTTCATTTCTCATGTTGTGTCTTTCAAGTATTTTTCTTTTCTTTCAAACATCGGATCTCTGGAAACTGATTCTAGACTTTCAAGATATTTCCAAACTATAGGGTATATCGTTTAACAGACGGAACGAACAAGTTCTCACCGAGATTTATTTTCATGTTTTAAATATACTTCGCATTAAAAAAGAAAATTTTTTTTTTTGTTTTTTCGAAAGAACTTGTTCGATCGAAAATCTGAAAACTTTTCAACGTAGGTAATTTGACTCGTTCTGATACAAACTTCACACTATAATATTGTAAGTTTCATTCTTCTAATTCTATTCTAAAGCATGAAGTATGCAGATGACATTTAATCAATCTCAAAGCATCTTCCATTGATTAATGAAAATATGTGTTGCTGAAAACAAAAAATGTCGTGTTTTTGTTCAGATTATCAGTGTCTGATTTATACTTTCTTTAAGATTTATGAGCGACAGAAAAAACAAAGCAAAATACACCCAAGAAGATATGAAAAAGAAATGTCAACAGCAAAAAATAAGTAATAACGAAAATAGGTAGAACGTGTATACATGTTGTACAAAGAATAAAATTACAAAAAAAAAACAAATTTGCGATCTTATATAAAAAAGAAAAGTGGAACAGAACAAAACAACAAACGGCATTGTTAAAAAAAAAAGGTTACAAGCCCAATATTGATTGATCACAATATTTTTTCTCGCGCGTGTTTATATGTCTTTTCAGATTATTTTATAGACGATGATCTGTACTTGTTGTTGACTGACATTTTCAATTGATCAAAAGAGATGAAAATATTTTTCAATAATATTTTTGAGCAATTTGATGTTTGATACACACATGTAATCGATAAATTCTTGTTTAGAAAGAATAGACGGGTACATCAACTAAAACGAAGTCTAACAACTCTTTTGAAAAAAATCTTTGTTACTTTTTTGAATTTGAACGTAGAAACTTAACAATTGAGGAAATGATGAAATACATAATTCTAAAAAGAGTTCGATTAAAATATCGAGTGAAACTGCCAGTGTATGGTCTTCTCATTATCGAATCGACGGACTACTGGACACATTTTACGTTCAAATACTTTTGATTCCGAGCAAAATCTGCATAAGAATATGCACATCAAACTGCCTAAGATGCGTAATGATTTCTCATAGAAATCAATTGAAAAATACAGACTAAGGATAACTATGAAAAAATTAGAAGAATGGTGGAATGAAATATTTTTTTAAACCGTACTCAGATCTTGACTATCTCGATGAGATAAAAAGAACAGAAAAACAAAGTAATTCATATATAACTATTTCATGTAACGTTTTGTTTTCTAATCTCCAAAACAAATCATGGTCTACAGTCTTGTCGATAGTTTAAAGATAAAGCAAAAAAATATGTCGTACAAAAAACGTCTAGAGAAGAAAAAAAATGTTATTTTGCACTGTTGTCCAATGTTGATGATAAAATAAATTGATGATTAAATGATGTACTTGGATACAATGTCGTTGTCGTAGTGGTTGTCGATGTTGGCAAAGATGTGGGTAGAATTGCTGATGAAGTTGACAGAGAAGTTTGAGAGGAAATATTAAAAAATGGTTGTAAACGATACGATAGTTTTGATTGATCACATGGAACTTTTGTATATACCGGAGATTTTTTTGTTGTAAAAAATACATTTTTTTGTGGTACTTTTTCGGGTGTTTTATGTGTAATAGCTGTTGTATGAGCAATTGTTGTGTTGGTTAATTGAATTATTGGAATAATAGCTTCTTTAGTTATTGGACTAAATAGTAACAGAAAATAGTAGTCAATAAATTAATAAAAAGAGCTTAATCGATTTTGACTCATTTTCAAAATTAGATTAATTATACATGGCTAAATGCAGAATGAAACAATGCATCGGTTTCCTGGTCACTACTTCATTACAATTTTGCATACTATATACGAAGAATGTAATTAGTGGATTAAGATGCAGATAGTGTATATTTTCAACTGTCAAACATGAACTGGGATGCAATTTTTTTTTGAAATATAAACTCGAGAAAAAAATGTTCTTTCCAGTCTATTCTCTTTCTACAGCAGATCGGATATATCAAACATATTTTTCAACAGAATGTTAACTAGAACAAAACAGATTGTCGCAGTTTTTCACCCTGCATTTAGTCATGTATAATTTGTTTCGTTTGAGACTGGAACAAAATCATTCAGAATACGATAAGATCTTTTTGTGAAGAGTATCACTCGACAAATAGGATCTAACAATAAGTAATATTAGCCAGAAATTCAATGTAAAACATTCATTTGTATCTTACTTGACTTTTTCTAATGGAATAATACATTCTAATTCAAATTTTTTTTCATCGTGAGTTATAGAAGGCAACTGTTGCTGTTGTTGTTGCTGTTCTTGTTGTTTTTTCTTCGTTCTTCTTAATTTTTGCTGTTTGGTAGTTGTCTGACGTTTTCGTTTTTTTCGTGGATGCCAATCATCGTCTTCTTCTTCATCTTCAAAATCTTGTTTATACTCATCTTCACTTGGACGATGACGAATTCCATTTACTTTTGGCTCTAAAAGAGTATTATTCGCCGGGATTAATGTGACAGAACTTGATGTTGAATCTAAATAAGAAAAAACGTTAATAGTGCACAATAATGTTCGATTGGCATATTGTTCACCTTGGGAGTAGTCAAAATGAAATGGGGCAAGATCGTGGTTGTTAGTAATACTAATTTTACAAAATATTATGTATAGACGAATGAAAAAAGTCTTACATTTCGTGTTTATCCGTTAGAAAAACGAAATTGATTGGATAAAAGTTTTAGGGAAAATTTAGTCGGAATTTTATAATTTATGAATCTGTTTTCTTATCTGTTACCGAGATGCAAACACTAGTCTACTGACTAAAATCTCATAACGGTTTTGGAATACGTTGTTATGTTTTCTTTCAACTTTAAAAAATCAAACTACATAGATTAAGGATTATTACTATTACCTGTACAGGAACTAGCATCGTACTGTTCCTCTAAGATTCCATTATTTGTTGGTAAATGTTCATTATTATAAGCATATTCATCTTCATCTTTATTATCAAGCATGCCGTATTCAATTAAACGGTTCTTCGCTGTGCGAGCAGATGAACGACCCACACCTAAAATAAAAAAGTAACGATGATACACAAATATCATACACCAACTGAGAGAGATTCAGCCTATGATCGTTGAGGCATATTAGAGATTTTACTATTTAGGAAGAGTTATTTGTAGACTTACACGTGTCCAGATGGGCAAGTCCATGTCTGGACTGGGATTAATAGCCTTTTTCATACGGACTGAGACTGAAAAAGTTTAGTCGCATAGCGGACTTGGACTTGAATCGGACTGGCCCATCTCTGCATCTGTCTCAACTATTTGTCCAAAGCGGGAGTTAAACAATACTTTCTAGTCAGAAACCGTAGAAACTGAGTTGAAAGGTACGTGTAAAATTAACTGTGCCTATAAAATCATTCCAATACTTGTATTATAAAACATGCTGAGCAAATAGGTTGTTACCATCAATAACTCATAGACTAACCGAGACATTTGGCTAAATGATAGGCAAAACGTATTGCAACAATGTTATTTTGCCCACAATGTGGACATATAGCTGTGAATTTGGCAATATTTATTGTCGACGCTGATGGTTGTTGTGCTGAGGATATACGTATGAAAGATTTTTGACGTTTTCTTGCTGAACCATTTTCTGGTTTTTGTAATGTGTCGGTGGTAGCATTAACTAAAGTGGTTTGATCTGATGTGTGTAATTCAACAACAAAATCAAATATTAAATCGTCGATAATTGAATCTAGTAGCGACAAATGCGTTTGTTGATCATTCACACTATTGCTGTTGATCTCGAACTCTAAAACGTTTTGATGTAACAATGGATAAGATGGGGATTTATCGCCAAAATCATTTGTATTCAGTTGATTAACAGATGGCGATTGCTGCATTCAAAAAAAAAGTAATCTAAAACGAGGAGAGAAATGTGTTCTCAATCGATATAAACTATAGAAAATAATAATCTTCCATTTATTTCATAGACTATGTTTTCGGTAGCAAAACTGACCAATGCGTCTAGGATTAAGATCTTATAAATGAAGTCAAAGTAAAAAGTAATGGTAACCTTGTAAAAACAAACCTGTGTGGATCAAAATAATTATAATATATTCCAATATCAATTTAAAATTTAAAGCTTTTTTGCTGAAAATGTTTGTTAAGTTCAATACAGAAACAAAAACGGCATTTTATTTTATTCTTTTTTAGAATTTTTTTGGAGACCATCATTCATCTTCGTTTAATTGTTTTTATTTTGAAAAAATAATATTTTACATCATTCTCTCTCTCTTAGCAAAACGTTTCATTAAACAAGAACTCTCTTGTTCAATCCAGAGAAAAAGACACGAGATGAGAATAGAAATTTAGTATAAAAAAGTAGAAGACAGAAAATATGCACAAAGAGCAACAAAAGAGAAAAAATATATACAAAACATATCTGTTACAATGTAAACAGCTTAGTTTATTGATATGGTTGAATTGTATACACATAATTTGGATTTTCCCCTTCATTATTTCGAATACATGTAACAACGCGCACCTATTAAAGAAACAAATATGTTATTTGTTAATGTGCGATAGCGCCAATAGAAAGATCTCAAGCTAAAAAATAGTTGATTGACTTACTGAACTTCCATAGGGTTCTAATCCATTATTGGCGGCTCCAGTTCTTGTCGTTGATGATGACGAAGCAGCTATTTGTTGTCTTAAATCATCACTTAAATCGCCACCCATCGTTATTGTTCGATCATATTTTGATGCATCGCGTAATTTTGTTAAAAATAATCTTAGCGGTTCGACATATTGATCGAAACCTAATGTTAACATGGCTAATAATATATCTTCACCATTTATTGTTTTTCGTTTTTCTTGTAAACAACGATCAGACGCTTCAGATGTTATAAAACTAATAAATTCAGATACACATCTGAAATAAAAGAGACCAGTTTATTTATGATCTTTGTATACGTTATTTTTACTTACTCTTGAATTGTTTCTTTAGCATCTTTTGCTATTTTTCCCTTGTCCGGTACGCCTTTTTTCATTATTTTTGCTACGTTGGCAATCGGTAAAAATCGATCTTGTTCACGTAATGGTCCCGTATAACGTTGCTCAACATAACTACCATCGTTAATACTCTCTCTTAAACCGCTACCATCTAAGCGTTGGGAATGATGACCTTGCTGCTCATCGTCATCAGATCCACCATCATCAATATAATGATGTCTCATATGCATATGACCATCATTTGAATTACTATCGGAATCCATTCTACAACAAAAAATGAGAATGGCTACTATCCAACTCATAGAACATGTTCTTAACTAGAAAATTTTCCTAATAATTAGATAATATCAGCAGTTCTCCTGATTAAAGATCAGCGCAAAGCTTTAGAATCATGCAGAGCCAAGAATTCGAACGTATCACAGGTCTTGAATTTCTCTAACTTGAATTGTTAGTTTGAAACACGATTCTATCTGATGGAGTGTTACCGTTATAATGTATCGCAACTATGCCGTTGTTCCCTCAAATTTTAGCAAAAAGCGGCTCCGTTTCGTCAAGATGTTGAGAAGTGCGCTATTTTTGCCTGTTCTGCAAAGAAACACAAGATATTCCTACTCGTGACACAAGAAAACGGTGAAGATGTGAAATCTAAAAAGACTAAAGTAATCCATCAAACGTTTGTGTGATTAAAGAGAAAGAAAAAAAAATTGAGTTGAATCAAATGAAGTCTCGCTCGGGGGCCGTATCACAAAAAAACTTCGTCTGACTTAAGTCTTCGTTATGTGCATTTACGTGCTAATTTTATACAGTTAAGTGTGACTTAAGTTTTTTCGTGATACGACCCTAGAAACAGTCGTGAAATAGATGCGATAACGGAAACACTGAGTGCTTGGCTGGCATCAGTGGCGGATCTAGAAAAATTTTCTAGTGGTGGCGGATGCATACAAAAATGTAGCTATAGTGTAACTCGCGTTTATTTTATTTTTTGAACTATGAAGTAGCAGAAAATCAAAATTTTCGTGTTGGCGGCTTCCAGCACTGCCGTCTCCCTATATCCACCACTGGCTGCCATATGCATAGTAATAAATTCATAGACTGCAGCGAGAGAGATCCGGTAAAAGTGCAGCAGGAAGCTATCATACATTTCTACATCAAGTGTGTCTACGCGCGCGTGTGAGAGTGAAAGAGAGAAGAAAGGATAGATGCTGAGTTGACCGACATGACCCAACAGAGAGCGTATGAGCAACCACTACGTATATATCGAACTAAAGCAGCTATACACTTTAAATGCTTTGTGAAAATTATAGTCTTTCTCGTGTATAGAGCAGAGATCTATAATTTTCTCTCATTAAATCTTCTGTAGGTCGTTTCTAATGCCATCTTAAACTACATGAGCTGCAACTAGACGTCGCTCTAAATCGGACAAATCCATCCTCAATGTCCCATCTCTACACAAACTTGCTCCGTTTCATACAATACCAGTCTAATGTTATAGAACTCATCAAGTTATGTAAGAAATTGTCCTTTCTGACTTCACAACTAATGCAGAACCGAGAAAAATGGCTTTTACTCTCCCGGCAAAATTATCCGATTCAGCGCCACTCTCAATGCAAGTTCATGAATAGCGTGATAACTTATACAGCATGTTTCCCTTTTTACGGCAAAGCCCGTAGGTTTTTTCTTAAGGAGTGAGACCTGAACTATATTCTCTAAAACTTTGAAGGATGTTCCACATAAGGTTCACAAGATATTGAACTTTTAAAAACGAAGTATTTTACTGATAAAAGAAATTGTTGAAAAAAACTTAGTGTTATTTATTTTCTACCGAGTTAAATTTGAAACTCAAGTGGCGGTAAGGGTGCACTTAAGAGTCCGAAATGATTTGGGCAATGTCCGAAATAGTTATAAACCGATTTATAAAGGTTTATTTATAAATTTTTGATTTATAAATGGGTTTATAAACGGTTTTCCGCTGGAAAATTGGCGAAAAAAAGTTGAGTTATAAATACAGGATGTTCCAAAAGTCCGGAACAAAAAACCCTTGAATATCTTCGGCATTTCCTAACTGAACTTCAAGGTTATTTTTTTGTTGGATAAAAGGCCGCTCCAAATTTTATTCAATATATTTGGAAGTCTTTGTTAATACTTGAAAAAATGTTTGGGTTTATCATGGCGAAATTCAGGTTTTTTGGAACTCTTTTTAATAAATTATGTACTGCAAAAGTTTTTCAATAAAACATAAATAATTTTTAATCTTAAAATAAAGTAGTTGATTTCTCCTTTCACGTAATACGTTAATTACTTGCTTTTGTTTAAAAATGACTGGAGGGTATGGATTCTTTAGTCATGGTCGTTTCATACTACCATCTGGGAAAGTGCAAAAGCTAATAATTTGTTTTTCAAATAAAGTTACGTAAGAAAAGGAAAAACTACTAGTGGAATTTCATAGAAAGAAGGTAGTCTTACAAAGTGAAATAGTTTGAAGGTCTGTAAAAAGTTGGATCAGGCTACAGCAAGCCAGAATTCGCAGGTCATGTGAATGTGGTTTTTGTCTAAGTTTAGAAGGATCTGCAGCCGACTGTCAATTAGTCGAATCAGGCCTTGATTTCCTCATCGCCTTATTAAATATTGTTAATTGTTAGAGACTCCTGATGATATGCAAAGTAGTAGAAAAGTGGTTTCACGAAATTCTAAGTTCAGATTTCCTCCACAAAATGGATCGTGTATTTTCTTGTGTACTTCATTTTCTAGCTCTTGAAATTATGTACAACATCATATAAAACTACGTTTTAGCATGAATTTGACAATTCTTTTGACTGGATTTCGCTTAGGAAAGATACTGTTTCTGACTTTCAACGAATAATTCATTTTTCTTTCTTTAATCGACACATGCTCTTTGTGAAAATGGGTCGTTATAGACGAAAAGTTTATACTATTTGCAATATGCTACCTGCAACACATAGAAATGCTAGAGAGCATGAAAAATAGTTTTTGGAATTCGCTCACTTGTTCATGAAGTTGTCAGAATACTTTTAAAAAAGAGATCTTCACATACGCCATGGTTTTTATCATATTTTTATGAACTTATTAAATAGATCGGCCATAGAATAACTGTGATCTGAACAATTTACTATTCTGTCTACCCATTATAAAAAAGAAATCATTTTCAAACGGATAACGAAATTTTTTTTCTCTATTCAAGAAAGTCGAAGTGTGACTGCATATTTTGTAGTTCGTGCACTCTCCATATAATTGGTCATTATTTAAATTCGTTCTCTCGGGTTTCTATATGGAAAGTGGCTTAGAAACAAGGATACTCGTCACATGTATGATCACTATATCACAAAGCCACTAATAAGTCTAGAGTGCTGAATTCGAATCAGTCATGATGAACAGTTCCGAATTTTTGTTTCTTAAGACGTCTGATAAAAGCTCACGAGTAATTAACTTTAAATAGAACTAAAAAGAAGAGACGTATTTAATTTGTCAGTGCTTCCACTCAGAACTCATCTCAGTGTCTGTGAACCTTCTGTGATAATCTGTGATCCATAATTCTGTGGTGTCTGTGATCCGTCTGTGCTACTCTGAAAATGAGGTCTACGACTTCAAGTTTGATAAAACAAGTATTCGTTCCAGACACTTGTTCCTCATAATAATGTCTCAATCTCGAACTTTCTCGCCCACAAACGTCTCCTCCTATGACAAAAATGAGCGCGACAGTTGTTTAACAATAGTTTTATCTCATGTCTATGTTATGTCTTATGTTATACTACTCAATAAAGTATCATATTCATTATCATGAATGTTTTATGTATGCTATACGTGTCAATTAAAAAAACCTATGATCAAGTTGTAAAAAATTTTGACTCATAGACAATTCAGTCAAAAAAAAAAGAAGAAATGAGAAGAAAAAATTTGATGTTTTTTTGTTTGAACTGATTGAGAGAACGAACTGTACAAAAAATAAAATTGATTTAAACCATGTATACGCTTTTCTTCTCTTTTCATCAAAGCGCTCAGTATATCTATGTATATATATATACTATATATGACGCGCCCAAACGTGTGGCATATGATGGACGGTATGCACCTGAACAAAACAGAAAAATATAGAAAAAAAATTTTTATTGCAACATTTCTTAGTCAAGTTAACTAAAAAGGAGAAAATGGACAGTAAAGAAAATTTTGTTTTAAAAGTTATATACACATATAGTTCCCATTCATTTACTTATTTTCTGTTCAAAACGTAATATAAAATACACACACATAGGTAGAGAACGAGTAACAAGAAAGAAAGGGAACATTGGAGAGAAATTTGACTTTTCTCTTTTTTTTCTTCTTCTCTATATTTTAAAAAATATATACACGGCGACCAAATGTTCAATATATTCAACGACGACGTCGACCACTTTTATACACGCGTATATATCTGTACACAATTTGAAACATAACCTTATGTTGTAACTATTTTCTTTTTTGAAGTTGTTTTGTCTTGAAATTTAAAGAATGGTTCACAGACAATGAAAAAAGGTAATTGGAAGATTCTTTTTATTTTTTTGCAATTAGTTTGTCTACACGCATTATTAAGTCGTACGTCCTGCAATATAGACTATTAAACCAAGATTATGAATTCTATTAATTAATGAATAAAAAAATTAAATTTTGGTCTAATGTTTTTTATTTATATCCAAAGATACTTTTTATAATAAGAAGAGGAGTTAAAGACAGTTTTAGCACGATGACATCTGTGTCTCTTGAACTAGAATATATTTTATAGTGTTAATTTCTATTTCTATCTTAAAGTATTTTAGTTTTTCGATTGTCTTGATATTCATATATAGAATAGTTTAATCACTGAATAGGAGAGAAGTATTTTCACATACGTATCGTTGATATTTTACGGTTTTTCCGATACCTTATTGACTAATTGTTTAATTGACAGGATATAAAAAAAGTCCTGTATATGTGTGTGTGCGTATGCTTCTTGTCTGTCAAGAGGTGTATTGTTGTTGTTTCTTGACCAAAACACAGAATTCTATGTTCATTCATTCACTCACCTATATTTATTCTTAATTTACTCATAGATATGTCTGCCTATTGTCAAACAACAATTTATATCTCTCACGAGAATCACATTTTTTTTTCTCTTCTAAGGTCATGATAAGAATAATTAAGATAAGCATAGCGAATATTTGACATCTCCAATCTCTTTCCCTCTATTTTGTTGTTTAAACAGATTAAAGATCCCTAATTCAAGGTTGTTGATCTACGCACACCTATAAAAAAAGAACTAAGGTAAAATAAACGCCAGAAGTAATTAGGTCAAAAGTACACACAGAATCTTTTTTCTTTACATGAATAACATCTTGCTAATGTCAGACATATTCAGGATCAAGTAAATTATACATGTTATAGTCTAGGAAAGTTATTTTTAATACGTATAAACAATACCATTTCCAATTACTCTTTTGGTAATGTTTTTCCTTAAAGAAATTTGAAAAGAATTTCATTAATCATAGCAGATTTTGCTCGTTTTTGTTATAACTTGAAAAGTCTTTAGAATTTAAGTCAATAGATTTTATTTTTCTATAATTAAATGTGATATAGGAGAAAATCTGTGTTTTGCTAATGTTATGAATACAAACGTTTAATTTTGAATGATCCCTTTTTTTCTTCAAGTTGAATTTCTTCAAAGGTCATTTTATTGAACGAGTTTCCCACAAATCAAAATGTATGTGTTGAGAAATTTTTATCACCATTCAAATATATGCTTAGCATGTTTTTGATGATTTTCTATTTGGTTATCTCACCTATTTTTGTTAGATGTGAGATAGACAGAAATAATAAGTTCAACATTCAACATCTGTTCGCCAAAACATATGACATTTAACATGTTAATTATTAATAGCAAGAATAATCACGAACAAATTTTACTTTTATATTTTACTAACCTTGCCTATTGTCTTGGGTTTAGGGAGTTACCCTCAGGAAAATTTTTTTTTATTCTACAGGCGATCTTAATGAAACTTGAATATGTTAATACTTTTTTTCGGAATGAGTAAAAACATGCTGGTAGTTTCAAATGAAAGTAGACACTTAGATCTAAAAATCTAGATTTTTGAATTTTGCTTTCGTTTACTTTCTGCACAAATTTCAAGTCAAAACTCAAAAAAACCTTGAAATCCGAGATAGTATTTTTCAGTTTTTCTCGAAACAGGAAGTAAAATTCCGGAATCTGTTCCATGGATGTTTAAACGTATATCTCGACTTTAGAATAAAAAAAAAATGAAGGTTCTACGATGAAACATAGTAGGAGAAGTAGCATTTTTGCTGTACCAAACCATATTCAGCAAAAAACGGTGGAACAAGTAGGATGATCACTGTAGCAGTAAATGTAAAGTTTAATATAGGAGTGTGATGTATATTTATAAAGCAAAAAAGGACACAAGGTAAACACCTTTACCAGCGAAAA